TAAACTCAGTTGCTGGCAAATTAACTACAGTTCCACAGTCAATCAATGCAATCAATGAAAGTAGTAAATTTATTTTGTCAGGAATATGTATTTCTAAGGRATTTCCCCCATTTTTTTAAATATTTATTTTTCAGTTGTAGTTGTCAATACCTTTATTTTATTTATTTATTTTTATGTGGTGCTGAGGATCAAACCCAGGGCCTTGCCCATGCTACCACTGAGCCACAACCCCAGCCCTCCCCCATTTTTTCAAAGCTCAAAACTTGACTCTTCTGACTGTCACTATTTTACCACAGTGTTAAACAAGTACTTTATCCATGGAAGATTTGCTTGTCACCCACAGCAAAGGTTACCAGCATTTACATGTCTGTCTCACAAGAATAGCAGATTAATCATCTATATCTTAGCTAACAACCATGTTATTACTCTCTAAGGGAACTTTGTCTAAAATATAGAACATTGTAACAAATGCTCTTCTAATCAGATATGTAATTCTGGTTCTTCTAATCAGATAAGTAATTCTTAAGTGAAACAAGATCACACTTGGGAGGATTTTAACAGGCCAGAAATGCCACAATGAGAGAAATATCTACTGAAGATATTCTAGCCACCTAACCATTTTGTTCCCATTCTAAAATTAAAAGGATGAAAATTTCACTCTGAAAAAACTTAGTGAAATAACAATACTGGAGAAGGGTGAGCTTTAAAAGCTACAGATGGAAATTTGAGAAAACTACCTTTTATAAAACAGAACATTTCGGGCATATAAAAAGGCATGCCAAATATTAGATACCACCACCAGTTTACGCAATAAAACATTGCAGATATAACTGAAGCACTTGTATGATTCCTCCCAGATTCCATTCTCCTTAATGTCTCTCAGAGGTAACCACTACTCTGGATTTGGTGTTTATTTCCCACAGATGTATATATTTTTGGTACATAAGTATGAATCTGTTAAAAAAAAAAAAAACAGTAACATTGTTTTTCATATTTATTTTAGAAATTTAATGTTATATATTTTGAAAACATGTCTGCCTACACACACAAAAGAACATATAATATCACCAGCTATCTAGTTTCCAGACACATAATACATGTATAAAAGCAGTCACACATATAAATTTGCCCTGCCTTTTAAACATAAAAGGTTGGCAAACTACATACAAAGTTTTACTTTTTCCTCATAAAACACACCTGGAAAATCATTCTCTTAAATTATATAAATTCCCCACTATTTTTCCCTTTAATGTTCTTTTTCAATTTTTTTTTTTTAGTTGTAGATGGACACAATATTTTGTTTATTTATTTTTATGTGGTGCTGAGGATCCAACCCAGGCACCGCCAGTGGTAGGCAAGCGCTCTGCTGCTGAGCCACAACCCCAGCCCTTAGCTCGCCCTTTAATGTTTATTTGCAAACATTTCACTGTATGGATAAACCATAATTTATGTATTGTCCCACTAGAAAGGTTACTTCCAAACTTTTGTATTAGAAATATGGCAATGAATAATCCATTATTCCAAACACGTGAGTACATCTATAAAACACATTCCTAGCAGTTGAAGCGCTAGGTTAATTTTAGTAAATGCTGTCACACTCTATAGAGGTGGTACCAATTTAAACTCTCACCAGCACTGGGTAAGTGTTGTGCATGTTTTTAAAATTTCTATAAATCACATTCATCTGCATGTCCTTTTACAATCTGCTTTTGAGATTCACTCATGTTTGATACACACACACTCTACACATACACTGTGCACATATATGTGTTTGTGTGTGTATATATGTGTGTGTGTGTGTGTGTGTGTATATATATATATATATATATATTTCACATATAGATTTTTTTTTACTTAAGGGATTTTAAAATTTTTCCTGTGATTCATATAGAGAAGTCACCTACAAACCTGAAATTGCAGTTTTATGTAGAAACTCACCAATTTAATAATATTAAATTATATTAAATTTATTTAATAGGCTACATGTATAAACAATTCAGTTGTAAATTACACACCCAACGTACTAAAGAGATCATCTTCTTCATCCCCAGCACCACTAAAAAAAATAAATAAAAAAGAGATCATCTTCTCTAGAAAAACTTACCAAAATTTCCATATTAATTTAATGTAACAGTATCATGACTTATTGTTTATTCCATTTTTTAGTAATTACTCCACCGAAGGAGATTGGGAACAGACCCCCAAAAAGAAGTAGACACTAAAATCTTAATAATCAGAGGGATGTGGGGGAGAGTTGGGCTTGGTGGTACATGCCTATAATCCCAACAACCCCTGAGGGTAAGGCAGGAGGATGGCCAAGTTTGAGGTCAGCCTTAGCAATTTAGCAAGGCCCTAAGCAACTTAGTGAGACCCTATCTCAAAATAAAAAATAAAAAGGGGGTGTTTCTCAGTGGTTAAGCACTGCTGGGTTCAATCTGTGGTACCAAAAAAATTTAAAAAGACACCTAAAAAATGGTAATAATTCAAGCATAATCCTAAACTAACCTTAGTTTTCAGTTTAAACTCTACTTTCAAAATGCTACCATTAAACAGCTGAACTTTTCTTTAGTCTACAAAAGAAAACAAAACAATCACTATGAATTTATAGCCCTATTCCTCTAAAAATTAAATTTGCTCTAACCATAGGGTATCATACTGCAAATTTTTCTGCATATCAACATCATATATCTTCTGTCAATTCTTTAAGTTTACCAATGTGTACAACTAATTTCAAAAGCTTGACCTATTTAAATTATCTCAATAGGAATATATGGTTAATCCTATTGTAAGAATTCTTRTCACATTAACACTGGTATTAGTTACCAATGTGTCCACTATAGTGGCTACTTTTTCCTGCTCACTGAGCATCCATGTCCTCCTTTCTCTAACCTTAATAATACCAATTTCTTTCTGTTTACCCTGTCCCCCTAAACTATCCAAGTACTTAAGAAAAAGATAACCCTACACACACACACACACACACACATATATCCAAGGGTGAGCCATATTCCTCCAATGTAATGCTATTCTCTTCCTGGTGCTTAAGCCAATAGGTACATGGCCAGAGGGACTGGATGAGCCAATAACACAAGAGAAAGGTTGGGCTTCCTTGTTATGAAGAAAGAACCAGAGAATTGGATTTTCTATTAGTGGTGGCAGAAAGCATCCCAACTATTTCACAACTGGTTGAAGATTTTGACGAACATCAACTAATATGTTTATGAACAAATTTAATCATGACCATGAAGTCTATGATTTATTGAGGAATATTGACTTTTCAATATTTGAGGAGGTTGTTGACTTTGACAGAATATAGTATTACAGAGAGGAATGTGTAGGTGGAGAAAACAGTTAAGAAAGAGCAGTCACTGGAGAGAAAATGTCACAGACACATCATAGATCAAACTCAGAAATGAAAAATGTCTTCCTTTCCTATATGCTGTGCCAAACATGAAAACAGACCTGACTACACTCAGGTCTATTATTAAGGGAATGATGACCACCATAATCCAAGCAGAACTCTGGGAAGGGATGAAGGCATCAAGTCTGTCTTCTCACTATTTTAGGAACATTAATGAGCATTTCTTAGTTGTAACCTTCTGCAGTTTACAACTGCTAACAATTAAAAAAAAAATACCATCGTCAAAACTAAATTTAAAACTGCAAGAGCACAGAAACATCTTACTGACCTAATACAGACCAACCCTAATACTGTTATTACCCTATTCTGGCATTCGCTTCTTACTTCCTAACATTGTTGGCTTTGGTGATTTTCATAAAATTTAGGCAACTGCTTCCCTATGAAGTACAGAGCAATTTTCCAGTCCTATGACTCAGGAAGAGCAAGAGAAGGAAAAGTTCTCCTCTTCCATTCCTTAATAACATCAGAAATATGTTTATTTAGCTCTGGAACAGCAAAGTTCAGTTCACTGTAAAATTTTTCACAAAGACTGTTTTTTCTTTCAAGTCAAATGTTATACTAAGAGCTTAGTATATACAAACCATAGCTGATCATTTCCCCAAAGCCAATGCATATATTATTTTTATCAGTTCCAAACTTCCTTAGTCTCAATACCTAATAACAAAGCCAAATATTTTAAAGAAAAAAAAAAATATGTATGGATTACAAAGTTTGCAATTAAACTCTTTGTGCCGGAATTGGTAGACTAGAGAATAATTTCCAGGACACCTGTGCTGTTACCCAAGGATAGATGTCCAGTCAAACTACTTGTTAAGATATAATGTCCTTTGAAAATAAATGGAAACGAACTGTACTAACAGACTAATAACTACTATCTGGAAGCAATAACTCTCCTACCTMGCAGGTTTGGCATACTAACTGAAAAATTCCTGATAGTTAAAAAACTGTAGGCACTGGAGTCTGCATTCGGAATGTAAACCACGYAAAGCAAATACAGGACCAGTGTGTATTCATTACTTTGCTCTGAAGAGAATCCAGGGTCCTTTCCGACAAAATGGCTTTTTTTAACATACATAATTCTGTAGGCTCCCCCACAGCGACCTAACGTTGGGGAGAACATTTCATACTCAGTTAACGGCAGGGGCAGGTAAGTCGTCAGCTCCTCAAGGGAACGGAAATACAGACACCCCGTGGGGCGACCGAGGCAGAGACGGGCTGGCCCCAAGCAAGGGGGCACCACCCGGCGAACACAAGGCGCCTCTGGGGCTGGGCGCCGACACCCCGGCGCCCGCCACAGCTTGCGGAGCGCGCCTGGGAAAGTTCGCACCTGGAGGCACCGCCGCCGCCGCCACTCGCCAGCCCCTCCAGCCGCCGCTCCGTCGCCATGGCGACCGACCCCCACCCGCCCCCACAGGGTCCCGGGGCCGCACGCCGCGGGCTGCGCCCGGGTCGGAGCCGGGACAGGGGCTGCCCCGCTCGGAGGCGAGCCACGCCGAGCGCGGGGGAGGATGAGGAGGTGCGAGAAGAGGAAGTCGCCCGGCTCCGGGCCGGGACCCAGCCGGGCCCCGGGGGTCCTCACCCTTCACTTTGCCGAAGGTGCCRACGCCCAGCGTGTCTCCCAGGATGTAGTGGCCGATCTTCACCCGCCCGTCGTGTTTCTGCTTCTCGGCTGTCGCCATCTTTCTCCAGGAACTGAGTCTGCGCATGGCGCCGCGGGAGGGGGCGGAGGGGGTGGGTAGGGCCGCGCCGGGGGCGGGCGGGGAGGGGGTGGGGACGCGGGAGGGCAGCCGCGGAGCTGGGCCGCCGCCCTGCGCCGCCCGCCCAGGCCCCGCAGCCGGCCGTCGGACGCAGACGCTCCCCCTGGCGGGGCGGGCGGCGGGCGCCGGGAGAGGCGGCGGCGCTCCCATCTCGCCCCGCATCCCTTTCGCGGCAGCACGCTCCCACCTGCGCGCGCGGCGGGGGGGCTCCCAGAGTGAGAAGGGTGGCATCCCCGCTCCCTTCTTCACCGACGGAGCCTCTGCCCGCGATGGTCTCCCCTCATGACCACTCCGGCGTCTGGGGTCGGGGTACATCTTTCCGAGGGGAAAAGGAGCACTGGGCAAGACGGCTCCGTGATGCGGATATTGCTAGTTACTAGAGCGGCGTGAATTGAGACATGGCAGGGGACACCGCCCTGCCACTGTGTTCTAACCCGGGTGTTCATTATCTTTTCTTCTCCGATGAAATCTAGAAGCCACAAGGAATTTCCACTTGTGTCTTTGACCATTTCCCTCCCGCTACTCTATTTTGACTGTTGAGCCAGAAAGTTTCTGCTGGGCACCGTCTTGGTGGTCTTTTCCTCTGGATGATGTCCTGAAATTTCGAAATTCTCTGTTGCAAGGAGGAGGCTGGGGATGAATGTGTATGTGGGAAGGGGGATGTTATCCAGTACTTATAATGTATAGGAATTAATAATGTTAGATATCTATAACATAGACTTTCACTGCACTAAAAAGGCTTATAGTTACATTGGCCAGACTAGCAAATATTTATTGTTCCTGCAGTGAGTCAGAATAAGTCTACTGTTTATAAATGGAACCATAACATGTTACAGGGAAAGTAAAGTATGATTATTTGTAGTAGTTTTCAAGTGAGTTTGTTATTCAATTCTACTCAAGTGTGTCACAAAAAAAAAAAAAAAAAAGTTTATATGTTCTCAGGTTTTCCAGGTTCGTGGGCAAAAAATCGCACTCTTCATGAATGAGGATGAAAAAAATAAAAGACCAAAAATATCATTTTTATTCCCAATGAAAACTATCTAGTTCCCTGGTTGTTCCCTCTTTTTTTGTTTATGAAACCAAAATAACACATTAAGCACTGTCTGATTCCAAGGAAAGTGTTGCAAGGGAAACAAAAGTCCTTGTCTTTRAGCTTAGAATTGCACCACATTAGCAGACAACAGCATCACCTAGCCTTGAATAATCCCAAATTCCTAATGTATTATGGATTGCACTTATTTTGGAAGGTAGAAAGTTAAGAAATCTTTTATTATGATACATTGAATGGCAGGCAAGAGAAGTTACTGGCTTCTTCATCTTTACCTGTTTGCCTTGTGACTTTCGGTAGCTGAGGCTTCTTCTTCTCCTTCTCCTTCTTTCTTCCTACTGGTGATTGAACCCAGGGGATCTTTACCACTGAGATATATCCCCGGCCCTTTTTATTGAATTTTGAGACAGGGTCTCACTAAGTTTCTGAGGCTGGCTTCAAACTTTATGATCCTTGCTAGGAGTACAAGCATACATGTCACCACACCCATCTCTTTTGGGATCACTAACTGTAAATCCAGTTATCTCGGGATTCTGTTTTGGATCTAAGAAACCTTAATTCCATCCCCTCCCCATCGAAATAGCATCTTAAGTTATAAAGAACTTGCATCATGTTTAGAATTTAGCCAGGAAGTTTCTGCTATTTTTTAACCTAAAAAATAATTTTAAATTACCACAAAATACCTCAGTTCTGTGCTAATTAAATTAAGTTTCTTGCACAAGAGCAAACTGAAACTGAACTTGGCATATCCATTTGCCAATCTGTTCATGAAACTATGAAGACTTGAAAAAGTAACAATACATTTTTTTCCAGAAGCATCTATTTGTTGCTGTTTTGTGTTATTGTCAGATATATTTCTCTCACAAATATAATTAAAGATTGCTGAAGAAATAAAAAGCCTAGAATCACAGATCAAAATGGTGCATACGAACTTAGAGATCATCTTATCTGGTTTTCCACAGTCTCAATTTAAGCAACTTTAACTGCTTGATGTTTTGAGGATTTTTTTTTAATGTTGAGTAAAACCTGTGTCCAATTAACAGGTTGCAAGAAGTAACATAAGTTTCCTCTATTCCTTTGCTTTTTCTTTCCTTCATTCCTACTTTTAAAATTTTTATCACATTTTTTCACTCTTTCATTCTTCCATAGACCCATCCCCCAAACTTCACTTTTCTTCAAGTGTTTGTTAACTACCAGACATTATGAAATTTTTAAAACTTTATTTTCAAAAAAAAGAAAGAAAGAAAAGAAAGGCTTGATGCCTACCTTGAAGAAAGGTTTACAATGGCCATTCTCTGTATCTCCCTGACCCCAACCAAGATAAATATTATTCACATGGCTCAACATTTCTCCAGGGTGGAACCAAAGATATGTTAGACAGTGGCTTATACCCAGCTTTCTGACCTATCTATTGTTAACTTTACCCCTACCTCAGCAAAGTATATTGGAATATAAGTGGACAGTAGTTACATTATAGAAGTAACCTGAATCTACTTTATTTTAAAAGAGGGTGAAAGTAAAACTGTTTGCAAAACTAAGTACTTCAGCTTTTTATTAGTGCAAATAAGTGCAACACTGATGAAGAAATACCAGGATGATCCAACACTGTGGTAGAGATGTCCGGTCTCAAGGAGGAGTTGGGTAGTTGACAGCTGCTTCCTCTCTAGTTCTTCAGTGCTTTGCCTCTTATACTTTTCTTCTTAAGTGTTACTAGACTCAAAACTACCAGTAGGTTTTACACTTTTTCAGTACCCATCTCTAAATATGTTGGCCAGAACTAAAAATTCTATGTACTACACTACTGATAGTTAAGACTAATGTTTCCTTAGCTTAACTGACATCACATTGTAGCTAATATTCCTACATTTACTAAACACAAACTATATATTGAACAGTTTACTGCACAAAGGACTTTCAAAAATAAAGGATCACAGTTTCTGCCTTCTAGTGGCAAATAAAACTGTGATAGGTAATATAATGAAAATAAGTATGTGTTTCTAAAGGGCCTCATGAGAGGAGGATATAGCCTTTATCCACAGAGGTCTGTCGAGGCTTGTACATGAATATTATTGGGGGGAATATGAAGAGACGATATTTTCAGTAATCTGCTATTCAGGTCCCCTCTTGCCTGGTGGTAGTTCTCTCTTTTATTCTCACTTAAATAAATCCTACTCCTTTTACTCTCACCTTAAAAAAAAAAAAAAAAGAAAGAAAGAAAGAAAGAAAGAAAGAGGAGGAGGAGGGCAAGGATGAGAAGGAGAAAGAGAGATGTTTTCATTGAAAAGGGAGGCTGAGGCAGAAGGACAGCAAGTTCAAAGCAAGACTTATCAACTTATCAAGGCCCTAAGTAACTTAGTGAAACCCTGTCTCACATAAAAATAAAAAGGGCTGGGGCCTGGATTATGGTTCAGTGGAAGGGCGCTTGCCTCACGTGTATGAGGCMCTGGGTTCGATCCTCAGCACCACATAAAAATAAATAAAACAAAGGTATTGTGTCCACCTACAACTAAAAAAAAATTAAAAAAAAAAAGCCTGGAAATGTTACTCAGTGGTTGAGTGCCCCGGACTCAATCCCTGGTACCAAAAAAAATGAACAAAATGAGAGACAATGTTTTTTTTGTTTGTTTGTTTGTTTTAAGAGAGAGAAGAGAGAGAATTTTTTTTAATATTTATTTTTTAGTTCTCGGCGGACACAACATCTTTGTTGGTATGTGGTGCTGAGGATCGAACC